TACCTAGTTGGGTCATGAGATGTCTGCAAGAAAACCACCATGCTCAGAGAGCACCAAGGACCCCATAGTCTGCCTCCTCCCTGCAAACCCCACTCCCTTCTAATCCTGATGGTGTTACCTAGTTGGGTCATGAGATGTCTGCAAGAAAACAACCAGGATCAGAGAATCCCTCATTTCAGTCCTGAGCTACAAATATTCTCCTTTATTGGTACTGATTATGTTACCTAGTTGGGTCATGAGATGTCTGCAAGAAAACAACCAGGATCAGAGAATCCCTCATTTCAGTCCTGAGCTACAAATATTCTCCTTTATTGGTACTGATTATGTTACCTAGTTGGGTCATGAAACGTCTAAAAAGAAACACCAGTGCTCAGAGTGCACCAAGGACCCCACAGTCCTCTTCCTTCTTCCTCCTCCTCCCTACAAACCCCACTCCCTTGTAACACTGGTGACGTTACCCAGTTGGTCACGAGACGTCTGTCTACCAGAAAACCACCAAGCTCAGAGAGCACCAAGGATTCCTCCTTTCAACCCCGAGCTGCAGAAATTCTCCTTTATCGTAAAGTTCCGTTTTTATTCCGCGTGGACACATTGCATCGTCTCCAATCGCGGAGTTCATTGCCTGCGGGATACAGGCAGTCCCTGACTCACGTCCATTCATGTAGAAACCATTTGAAGTTACGACGGTGCGGGGGGGGGGGGGAAACGGGACTTATGAGCAGTCCTCGCAGTTAACAACTGTCGCAGTGTCCCACAGTCACGTAATTGAGACTTTGAGCATTTGTGGCACTCCGGAATTACTGGGACAAGCCAAGTCATGGGGGGAAGCCAGATCTACATAATGACCATGCGATTCGCTTAATGATGATGGGAAACGATCGTAAAGTCATGCATGGTTCAACCTGATGTCTCACTTAATAACTGCATTGCTTCTGGTCCTATTTTCGGACGTAGGATGAGGACGACCTCTATCCCTCCCGAGCTCTTGGCACGAGAATGGTCCTTTCCTTTTCCAACAAAAGCTTTTTGTATCTCCATTGCTTCTCAGGTGTTGTCCGAAGCCGCCTTGTCTGCCCTTAAAAGTTGAATTGTTACTGCTGTTTTTAATGCCAGCCGCCGACAAGCCTTCTCAGTGTTTATCAATGTCTGTTTTGAAAAACAATCCGTGTGCAAATATATTTAGCAAGGGCAAAGCCCGAGGTTGGTTTTATCCCACCAGTGATGGTTGACGTCCTTCTCGTTCTCTTCTGCGGCTTTTGAAGAACTCAAGGTGCAGCTCTCAAGTCTTTTGTCTCGTGTCGGGAAGACGCTTCCTG